TAGTGGAAGGTGTCCCTGCCCATGGCAGAGGATGGGATGAGATTTGAGGTCCCTCCCAAGCCAAACCATTCCACAATTCCATGATTCTGTGATCCCTTCTTCTGCATCATTAACCAAGATATCAAATAACACTGGTCCCGGTACAGCCCTCTGAGGGCCACCACTGGTCCCTGATGTTCACAGCCATCCAACCCATTCCTGATCCACCTCCAGCACATCCATGGAATCTGTCTTTCTCTCCCAAAACGCACCGTGGCACCGCCATCAAAGCTGGGGGTGGGGTGTGAGGGTCAGGGGGTGACCGTCCCCCCATCCCCTGGACCCCCCAAACAGCATCACTCCCTGGGAACAGAATCCCTTCTCCTGCCTTAATAACACTGAAGAGCCGAGCGGGTGCCTAAACCAACAGAAATAATTCATGAGAGTCATTAGCTGCTCGAAGTGGGGCTCTTTTCATGACCGACTTGAAATTAATAATAATAAAAAAAAAATCACCACCAACCCACCAACCCCAAACCCCACCACGCTCGGAATCCGCAGCTTTTCCAGCACATCAAATGCTTTTCCTGCCGCCTCCCACCGGCCCCGGCTCCGCCGCCGGAGGAAATTCAATTAACGGCCTTAATTCACCCGCCGGCTGCTGGTTTTGTATTGGAAAATCCTCCCCATTCCACTCGGGAAGCGCCGTGACCGGATCGGGGGGTGTTGAACCCTGTGGTGTGGGGGGCTCGTGGCACCTTGGTGTGGGGACTGGGGACCAGGTCAGTGAGGAGCCTCCTTCCTCCTTCTCCTCCTCTTCCTTCTCCTTCTCTTCTTTTTCCTCCTCCTCCTTCAGCAGCTCCAAAGGCTCCAGGAGCTGGAAGTCCATGGAAAAGCCCACCAAAACCATTGAGTCCAACCTGTGCCCCATCCCCACCTTGTCCCCCAGCCCAGAGCACTGAGTGCTATGGTCAGGCGTTCCTTGGACACTTCCAGGGATGGGGACTCCACCACCTCCCTGGGCAGCCCCTTCCAATGCCTGGCCACCCTTTCCATGGAGAAATTCCTCCTGAATTCCTCCCAACATGTGCACATGGAGCAGGGTGTCCCTGCACCAGTCCCAGCGTGGTGGCACTGCTGTCACCACCCAGCCCCTGGTTTGCTCTTCCCGGGTCCCTCTGCACAGTGTTAGTGCTGGAAGGCGCTGTGGGAGAGGTGGGAGCTGGCAGAGGGAACAGGAGACACGACAGGACACGTTCACCAGAGATTCCCTGTTCCAGCTGCAGCAGGATTTGATTTCTCCCCCACTTTACTGGAATTTCTCCCGCGAGTGCAGAGGAGAAAGGTGGATTACCCAACCCAGTGCTGTGCACCAGGAGCATTCATCGTTACCAGCGACAGGAATCTCTCCCCAATCCCTCCCTATTTCCTTCTTTCTCCCCTTTCACTCTCAATTTCTTCCTCCCTCAGATTCCCGCGAAGGGCCCTGGCAGCGCTGCCGGGAGCTGATCAATCCGCTCCTGGTGCAGCTCCCACGGCCTCATCCATCAGCCAGGCTCGTTCGGAGCATCCGGAGCTTCATGGGCAATTTGGGGCCCAAACCAGCCCATTTGGAGCCTCGGTCATATTTTCTCCGTCTCTTCCCCTTTTGTTCCGTGTTTGCGGAGGACAAAGGCAGGCACAGGCTGGG